GGGGAGGGGGGGGAGGAGGGAGAGGTGGTGGTGAAGGGCGGGGTGGAGGGAACAAGAGGAAGTGGGGAGGGCGTGGAGACCAGGCACCGGATCAGCGCAGATAAACCAGTTGCGGTGTCCTTGGAGTTTTCTGGGCGGCCCAACTGTGTATCACATGGACGTTGTGTCCAATCTTCTGTCGAGAATTTGAACAGCGAAACAACAGCAAGTATTCTTAATGTAATGAAGCTTTGTGTATGCGGAACGAGCTTCTCGGGTGCACTTGATGGATTGGATACTCACCCCCTCCTTTTCTCGCAACATGCACAAACTGTCATGTTCGGGCAGGCAAATAGTAGTTGTGCGGTTGTGTGTTGTTTGTGATGGCGGTAATATCACGTGAGTTTTGTTTATTGAGCGGTGTCTCGTTGGAACGAAGAACCGGACCAGCTGTGCACGTCTCTCCTGGGCTCGTTCCCGCTGTTCCTTATCTTTTGTTTCCTTCGCGGGGTTGGCATCCGGCGAAAGGAGTGTCCACCGAGTAAAACCCTCCCTCAGAGCTTCGGTAGAGTTGCGCGTCGTGCCATGCAGTCCCGGTCTTCCCATAGAGAAGAGCACGTGCAAGCTCTATATAGTGGCGTTTAAGTGCGAGGGAGGACTACAGAGAACACGCGGAGACGCAGGGGCAGAAGCGGTTCGCTTACGTGGTGTGGTGGATACACCATAACGGCTCCCGGCCAGTGTACATGTATTAGAGACCGGGAGACGGACGGTGTTGGAGCTCACGTTATGCGGGGTGCTTGGCACTCACTTCGTGGCTCGGGAGAAGTTTTGTGCTCTCTCTTGGTGTGGCTTGCCGACAGCACAAACTGCTGCAGTTCCAGATGAACCCGATGAAATCTCAGATATTCATCACGTTGTACGCGGTCGCATCGTGGCACAACAACAGTGCCGATTTCCTCGCAGCCGCGCGACCTTTTGGGACTTCACACACCACTACCCACCAGACCCGAGGGACACACGTCAATACAGCAATCTCACGCACTGCTGTGGATAACGTGTACAATGTTGCTGCAACAACACAAAAAAATGTCCAGACCCCATCGAAACCGCCCAAAATAGAGTCCTCTTGTGTGGAGGGCGTCGTATCTGAAGAGTTTAGCCCAGTGGGCGTTTAAACATTCCAGGTGAGATACTCTAAGCCAGTAGTTTCGCAAGTTCACGCATTCGGGGTGTAAATACCTCGCGGGGAGCAGTCTCTTCTTCCTATACCACAAACCCGAACGCAAGCTTGTTGGCATTGGCTGGAATGGCATTGAAGTTTTCAACAAATCAACGATAGCAACAAAACATGTTTGCCTAGGAGAAGACCGCGGGTTCTCTTGATGCATCGAGGAAGGCCTACACAATTGAAAGCGGCAGACTCCAACGCCTCTAACTCCCTGGTGCTTGCACCACCCCTTCAGCGGTTTATTATTTTGTTAACTTTACTGGAAACTGTGGAAACACATTCAGGTGCAAAATGAAGGCTGACCACAGGCAAAGGAGCCCCCTAAAGACATAGAGGCCGCCTGTCTCCAAAGCTAAGCCCCACTCCAACGTTGTCCCTAGAATCTGTCACTGCCACACACGCAAGTACCAAAGTTTGAAAATGGTTAAAAATCTCCTCCCAAGTAAATATTTTAACCCATCCGTCTTACAGTTTAAGCTAGCCCGAAGACGTGCGGCGGAGGCCAATCCGTCGTGGTCAATGCCATGTCATCGTCCATTCATGATTTGCCAATTCCTGCCACTCTGGACGTCTCCTCGCCGTGAGATCACCTGGGTTATTGCGGCGGACGTGTGAATCTGAAGGGACCACCTCCCTGGCTGCTGGCGGGATCATCGCGACCATCCCTTTAGGTGACGCTTGCTACACAGATGAACGGGAACTGTTTTCCTTCGGTGTACTAGAGCTGACGACGGGTATGTTGCAAGGCGCATGTTGAAGGAGGGGCAAGCGCGGGTCCCATACATGAGTACGCAGACATGGGCTGGATGCTTAAACGTATCGACTTCGATGAGTTACAGGGTACTATTTCGAACATAGTCTAGTCTACATGTTAAGAATTTACACGAAAACGACACTGCTGAATAGAATAATAAGGGAAATTCACCCCAGTGGTGCTACGTGGAGACAGAAAACGGAGCACCCTATCCGTTCGAATTAACTCGAACCCACGGTGTTCTGAAGTGCAATTGATTGTCAATCGATCATATCGGCGATGCACGATTTAATCCCAAATGTCCAGGGAAGCAGCACCTCGATACTCGCTATAAGGTGCACTAAACATCGTGGCACTGATTTTTACATGTGCACTTCTACGGCCTCGCGGCGCAGTGGTTTCAGTTAGGGAGGGTGGGGTAGGGGGATACTCACAGTGACTTCCTGTTAACTCCTTATTGGAATGGTCGGCGTCCCATCCCGCCGTTGCCAACCTTGGACGCTCCTGCGGTCACACACACTCTCTTGTCACCACCCTTGCGCACAACCTTGTTCACCGTTGTTGCATGCACAGCGTGCTCTTCTTCGTCGTCAGATTCAAATATTCGTCTCTTCCGACGTGAGATTGTCGCCTTCAGCGTAGAGCTTGCAATCCGCGGTTGACGGCCATTCTCTCTGTCCCGTTCATAGTCAAGTTTCCGTCGCTTCCAACACGAGGTCGCTATCTTCGTCGTCAACTTCGGTTACGCCGAGCTGACGTGTTTCTTGGCCCCCCGGTCTTCAGACTCCGATCGTACCCGTCGCTCACGTTCAGTGAGGGTCACCTTCGTCGTCGCTATGGTAGTTGCAGCTCTCTCGGTGGCCGGTCCCATGTTTTTCTTCTTTCCGGCGCCGGCAGAAGCGTCCGCATGGCCTCTCGCCCGCCCTTGAATCTTCCGCCGTGCTTTTCCCGTCGAAGCACAGGAACGTCTTCCGCCAACGTCCTCTTGTTGTGGTGCCGCCACACTCCTACCCCGCTTGGCGTCTCCGTTGCGGTTGTTGAACTTGGCGCACCCGGTCGGTTTCACAACTGTGGCCCCGGAACCATCCTGAGGGCCGTCGCGGTTGCTGCGGGCGTTGGCGTTGGCGCCGCTACTTTTCCTTGCTCTGCCACCATCTTTTTTCGTAGAGCTTGACCGCGCACAAGGTAGGGATCTCGGCAGCAGCATCTTGGTGCTTGCATGCCCCGTGCTGTCCGTAAGTGGAGTGGCGGCGGCGGGACGTGTAGCGCAGACTACAGCAGCGCCCTCTGTGGCACCGCCGCCACCGCTCGCCAATTCTTTTCTCTGCTGCTGTGGTCACCATGTCAGAGTCTTGGTGGGTTGTGTTGATCTAGAAAGGGCGGGTCGGTAGCGGAGGAGGGCGATGAGGGAGTCGAGGATAAATGACCGTTCGCTGCTTTCAAAACGAGGTGGGGACAGGGGGCGGCGGAATGTTGTTGTGGACGTACGAGGAAGTGCGTTCGAGATCGCCGGAATTGACTGAGAAAGGATGCACGTCTGGTCTGGTTCGCGAGTTTGGGAACACCTAGTAATATATTCCATCAACCAGGTGTGCAGACGAGTATCGATGTTACCCACCACACAGTAATAATAAGCCCTTGTACGTGAACCAGCAATCGTCCGAAACCGTTGCCACCACGCGGATGTCGTTGCCACGACCAAAGCATACTTTTCATGAATCAATGTCACTATTTAATCGACCCCTTCGTGAACAAAGCACCCAACGAGCCGAAACGCATAAGAGAGAAAAGAGGGTGCATTACCTTTTCGGAGAACCGTTGATCCAGTTCTCAACCTCCTGGTAGACGTAGCGTTGGTTCTGGCAAAGCGAGCCCACACTTGTGTACCCCAGATTCACGATCAGCCGGAGCCTCTCCCACGATCTCCAGGTGTCAGGGGTCACGGCCCACCGGTCTTGACGTGCCACCAACTTCCGCAAGCGTTTCTTCGGGAAGAGGGGTAAAGGGGAAGAGGGACAAGGCGTGAGGAAGGTCGTGCAAACTGTTGGACATCGCATCGAAGATGTAGTTGACAATAGCGGCGGCAGCTCCAGGAAGAGCACCAGATGAGGACCCACAAGACACGAGCATCACGACGACCGCCACAACGCCCCCAAAACCTTCAATTATATCAACGACATGCTGCTGCTACAGCGAACGACAAAACGTCGAAAACCAATAACGACAACCTGTGAACAACACACCAACCAGCCCTCTACGTGTTCCCACTTCCTCACCCTTCCGCTTCGGGCACCCTTTGCCGTAAGCCCTAAACCGTTGAGCTGAACACCATTGAGCACGTTTACCATGTTGGTGTCGTTGCCCTAGGAGTAAACCACGCAAAGGTGCACCGCGTGGTCGATAGTGAGCGAAAGTACCTGTTGATAAACAAGAAGCGACACAGGCTATTACAAGAGGGGTGGAGACCAGGTTAACAACGGTAAATAGATAAACCATGGCACAAGCCGTGTATAACTATCTGATATTGAGGTTTTTACCCACCCGAACATATTCACATGGCATCATGCTCGTCGCCGAAACCCAAGCACTGTCTCCCCGCGCTTAGCCCAACTAAGTAGGGTAAATCCTATCTAATTTCCATGTGACTCGTGGCTGGATACTGAGCTGCAGGTTATGCGAGGATCACAAAATGTGGCCTAAACAAACACAAGTGGAGCTCGCGTTGATACAATGAGTGAACTTTGGAATCTTTCGATTGCTTACTTGACAGCGTGGCATGTTTTTTGCTCGAGGAATTGTGCGATTGGAGCCGGCTTCAGGCGCCTTCCTGTTTGTCCAAGTGAACCTAGCAAGTGTACTTGGTCGAATTCGCTCCAGGGCCGCGCCCTGCTATTCATTCCTGCAACTAGACCTTAGCCCTGGCATGGATATGTGCTAGGGATAGAGGGGGGACGAAAACAAAGCGGAGGGGGGGGGGGGCGTACTTTCATGTTTTGCTTGCCTTAGCGGTTAGACGATTGACCACGCGTCCTCGAGAGGACGGAGCATTGTTCCACAGGACCGATCACCAAAGCGGAGGGGGCGGGAAATCCGGAGATGGTAGGATTGTCATGCCTTCTGCCATGCTGCTCTAAAATAGGCCGCGAAGGCCAGGCGGCAGGCCTTATCTTTCGCAGGAGAAGTGGGGCGACTACCCTGAAGCACGTTCCGCGCCCTGCGGTCGTCGTGTGCCCGACGAGGGCACGACCCCCTCCTCCTATTAATTATTTTCTCACACAGGTCTACGAACAGGCTTTCACACAATTGTTCACCATGGTTTCTGCCTAAACAATGTTCCCATGTACCGTACATCGAACAAACCAAAACATCCAAAATGAACCGGTGCTGCTGCCCCTGGCACAAGACTCAAGAACATTGTAGAGGAGCAAACTCCTTCACAGCATCAACTGTTTTCGCAATGCTCAACAGAAAATCAATGTCAGCGATGAGAATGCAACAACCACAGCCTGATACCATCAAGGGATCACAAACACGTCAGTCATCGTGATACGTTGTTGCACCTGGCGTTCTTTGTTGGCGAGGAACGAAAACTCGTCACGGACATGAGCTCGCTCAGCCTTCTTCTCTGTGCTCTTGGGCGGTGGTTTCAGCTTCTCCTTCAACGCCATTAGTGGAACCCCCCCCCGGGAACAGAAGCGAAGATGACATCACTTCTTTTACAGAAAATGCAGGTTCGGTGGGAGAAAAGGAACCTCTAGTCTGCCTGACCACTGGACCAAGGTGTACGACGGTCCACTTGTCGTACCCAATCTTTTGCCGGATCAACCAATGCCACAGCTCTGCCAAAGATGTGGGGGGGGTGAGGGCGGTGTTGTTCTGACCGGAAAGTAGGCGCCAAGACATCCATATGGGAAAGTAGCGACAACACCAAAGAAGCAGAATCTATCGTGCCATACCATAAAGCAAGCAAGAGCATGAACATCTGCACATCCTACCCTCAGGTGTGGGCCAACAAGAGACCCAAGCATAAGAAAAAAAAGGATTTACTTGGTGGGTCGTAACAAAGAAGAGCCAATCAAGAGGTACCCCGACTACACTCACCGGCGCCGCGTTTAGCTCATACCACCAATCCAGGGGTCGTTTTTTCAACTCGTCCTTCCCTGGCATATTTAGCCGACACCGTGTTCTCTCCTCGCGTACCGTCAGTGGTGGCAGCGGCGGCAACACCATTGTGCGCGCTCGCAGGTAGCGATGGGGGTACTGTAGGCGGAGGCGGTGGGGCCGATTTGACCTGGGCGCCATCGGTGCTGCCGGCGATTGGATCGTGCGCCGCGGTGACACGGGGATCGCTTAATGGTGACGGTGGTAGCGTTGACATAGCAGAGTCGCTCTCCTCCGCCGTTGACGACGACGTGTATTCCAGATCTAACGCTTTCGCCTTAAAACGCCAAGAGTACAGTTGCAGTACAGGCGATAGATTCGAGACGAAGACAGCGATGATTACCAACATACAGATAGCTTCTCTGCTGGTAGCCATCCATCAACGCTATAATCTTCGAAAACATCGATCTATTTTCACAGCTGCTACTACCGCTGCTTCTCTGCCTTGCTTCACCTGCGCCTGTGCCAAACGTTTGAACGTAGCCGTCGCAGCATTCGCTGTTTTCAGCTGGCGAGCCAGCGCCCCCGTGGTCATGCTGAGCGATCGGATGGCCGCCACGCGGTACTTGTTTCCTGCCCAGCAACAACGACGACACCGACGAGCAACAACAAAGACAGGAAAACAACAGTTCCGCGAAAGAAACGTAGCCGGAAATTGAAGTAGGTTAGACACAACCCCTTCGAGACGACGGTGCTTTCTTACCTAGCGACAACGGTGTCAAGCGAGCGATGCCTGATTGCGTAACAAGAGTTTTCTAGGCCAGACCGTTACATAGTAGTGCATGTAGGGGCGCGTCGATGTTTGCGTTCCCGCATACGCACAGACGGTGAAAGTGCGGAAAGCTTTCAGTACAACGCACGAGGTGCATAGGGTAATACTATCTCCCCATGGGAACACACCTGACCCCCCCTCGGCCTGCTCCCCGGCCGGGGCCGAAATCGACCTAGTGAGTCCCTCGCGGGCGAACCAGGACACAACAGATAGTAGGCGGGTGGTGTCCCAAGGTGCAACTCACCGCCGCGCTGGCTCAGCGTGGCGGTGAGGATGCCCAGACGGTGGTAGTGGCGAGAGGTGTGTATGGACACTGTTCCCGCGGCAGTAATGCAAAGCGGCAAACTGCACCTGGCAACCACCATGGCGGAAAGCGTGGCCCACGAAGCTGGAGGAGTAGAGATATTCGGAAACACCACGTCAGTAAGCACCGCTCGCGGGAGAAGGGAGACAACCGCGGGCACCGCGGGGAGGGAGTGCTGCACCCTCCTCGTCAAAACACCACAGGCAAGAACCGAGCTCTGCAGAGATGGATTGATGCGAGGAAAGTCGCCGCTCGCAAAATACGGAAGAAAGCACATTCGCAACGCGAGGTGGACCGAGAGAGACACGAGACCGCAGCGGCCGTCAAGGCGGCTGTGAAGAAGAAGGCACGAGAGGGCGACCTATCGTTCGGCACGTTCAACGTACGCACGCTCGCCTACAGCGGTAGGAACCCCATCGGTCACAACGTAATGACGGTCATGCAGATCTGTTCGGCGACCGGCTGTGATGTGATGGGACTTCAGGAGACCCGACGAGAGGGGCAAGGTTCAATTGCACACGACGGGTACGTGATCATCTGGAGTGGCGCCCGTGCTGGCACCAAGGAGAAAAGGGGCGTACACGGTGTGGGCATAGCGATCAAGGAGGCCATGTGGGAGAGTGTGGGCGAGGAAGGTAGGACGGTGGAGTGCATTAGCCCGAGGCTGATGAAGGTGCGTCTACAAATTGACCGCACCTGCGGAGTAACTTTCGTGGTGGGGTACGCCCCCACGGAAACTGTCCGCACCACCGCGGGCGGTGATGTTAACGCCAAGGACTCCTTCTGGACTGCTCTCGACGCAGCGATCCGGGAGGTTCACAGCCGTGAGCATCTCGTGGTGCTAATGGACGCCAACGCACGCACTGGTAGGAGGCGAGACGGTTACTGCGATGCCAAGATTATGGGCGCGTACGGACGTGACATTTATGAACAACAACGGGGAACGACTCCTTGGACTGGCATCAGACAACCAACTCTCCCTGACCAACACCTACTTCCGGACACCGAAAGGTGGAGTGCAGCACACATTCTCGAGCTCCAACAAGGGGAAGGAGAAGTACCGCCTAGACTTCATCCTCATGATTCAGACGGACCGGCGTTTCGTGCGTAATGTCTCCGTCAAACTTGTCGACTTCAAAGACTCTGACCA